CTTATATTCAGTCATAACATCGACCAACCGAGAAAACAGCAGCACCCCCACTCCCTGGCAGGCGTTCTCGCTCTCCGGGACTCCGGACCATAGAGCTAACGCCCCGCCAGGGAGCTCTTCAGTACCACTGCCCTTCCGTTTGGTCTCCGACATACACACGACATCTAATTCTCTTTCTTTCATTATTTCGATCAACTCATTCGTCTTATCTCTCATGCCTCCTCTAACATTCCACGTGCCAACTCTGCACTCTGTCCTCCACCTTCCGCCGTGTAGGGCTGTGCGTGACGGGTGGCGGTCCCCATCGCCGCTTTGCGCGCTGCATTCCACACCAACGGGGACGAGCTGGTGTGCGTCGCCTTGGGCGGACGCCCTAACCCTCGTTGGCATGGGTGCGCAGCTAAGTAGAAGCTAAATAGAAATTGAAAAATCATTTATCTTTCTGAAAATGTGCTTCTTATATCATTTATATATTCTATATGATTGTTAGATACAATTTCATGTGACAAAACGTTGGAATTTTAATTTTTGTACATACATACGCGCTTTGCGCTTAAGGCATGCAAAAACCATAAAATTTACTTTACATCGTAAAATATTACGCAGCGCTTGCACGAGCAAGAGTTTTATTTTATCGAGCTGATATATGTACGCGAAGTAATTTTTTACCAACTTTAATATAATGGACTTCCACAAAATAACGCCAGATTCTATTAATTATTGGCTTTACAATAATTGTTATTGGCTCGAGCCGCTCAAGCACAAAAAAGACGTGCGCGTGACATGCGCAGCACACGTGCGTCGGACACCAGTTGTGACATATGGAGGTGGAAGGCATCACACTGCCTGCATTCCGTGTGGAATGCTGGAACCGTGTGTGTTCTTGCATGCCCAAGAACACACACGGTTGGTGTGGTCTGGTGTTAAGACTTTATCACTAAGTGATAGTAATAAAACATGGCATTAAAATTGATCTATTTCTTTGTCGATCGCAGTTCGTATCGCAGAAGTATGCCTATTCAAATTGGATAAGTAAAAATATTATTAATATTTAACTTGATATCAAATTATAGGAATTTTAATAATGCGATATTGGAATTCAATAGCAGCAAAAATCAGGTCAATACACTTAACCAGAAAGCTGCTGTCAACAAAGCCATGTCAACAGCTCTTCCACGTTTTAAATTCCTATTTTGAGTTATTGAATTAAAAAAAATGATTTTATTTGCATTTCTTTCATATTGATTTCAATAGGACTTTTAAAATTTAATAATATATTCGTATATTAGATATCTGTTTTATATTTAAATATTTAATACCTATTATAAATGTAAAAAAAAATTATATTGTTTTTTCCCTTAATATCCTTAAAAGATCATTTTTGATTTTATGACATATTTTATCGTAGTATTCAGAGTGTTTTCGCCTATTTTAGGGATCAAATGCACTAAACAAAAAAATAAGCCTAAAGAACATGATGACAGGAAAAGATGTGTTAGTCATTCGAAACCCTAATAACACCGTAGGTCACACTGTATATAGAAAAAAGACCCATACAAACCGATATTTAAACGGTGAATCCCACCATCACCCTTCACAATTAGCTACCGTGGACAAATCTTTGTTGCAGAGAGCACGAGGGATCTGTGACAGCAAACACGTGGTCGCCGAGCTTCAGCACGTCAAGCAGGTTCTGCACCACGGAATATAAAAAACAAGAGGAAGCCCAAAGTGGGCGGGGCAGGCGTGTCACAATTAGCGACAGTAGAACATAATTGACTGTCAGTCGCAGGCTAAATTTGTCGCGAACTAACGTGTCGCTACTTAAGTAATATATGCAAAAATATGCCGTTTTGTGCAGTATTAGAGTGTAGAAACAATAGTAAAAATATAAATATTTCAAATGGAGGTGTTTCGTACCACAGGTACGTGTAATTTTATTTATTTTTGCAAAGAAACGTGAATAAACATGGACAAAATATGAAATTGCCTATATTTCAACGAATATTCAACCTTATTCCGTTATTCTAACGCTTATCTGTCAAAGCGTTATCAATAAAAAGTGTTGCGATAGTGTTGTGACGATATTAAAATCGATAATTTTTTATCTCCGTCCCGTTTATTCACTAACATATTAATGAAAATGTGCAAATACTGGATGTCTTTGAAAATATAAAAAAAATTATAGGGTGATACTGTCAACTTATGAATGAACATTTTATTAGGGTTGTTAAACCAGAGAAGTAAGTAACTTAGTAATACTCATAAAAATAACGCATTCATCATCATCATCATCATTACAGCCCTTCACAAGTCCACTGCTGAACATAGGCCTCCCCCAAAGAATGCCACAAAGCACGGTCCTGAGCCACCTGCATCCATCGACTTCCTGCATGTCTTACCAGGTCGTCACTCCATCTCGTGGGGGGACGCCCTACACTTCGCCTACCGGTACGAGGCTGCCACTCGAGAACCTTTCTTCCCCATCGGTTGTCGGTTCTTCGAGCTATATGGCCGGCCCACTGCCACTTCAGCTTACTAATCCGTTGGGCTATGTCGGTCACTCTGGTTCTACTGCGGATATCCTCATTCCTAAGTTTATCACGCAGAGAAACTCCGAGCATAGCCCTCTCCATAGCTCGCTGAGCGACCTTGAGCTTCCTCATACGGCCAGCAGTGAAGGACCACGTCTCAGTTCCGTAAGTCATCACTGGCAACACGCACTGGTTGTACAATTTCGTTTTAAGGTTTTGAGGTATGTCTGACGAGAAGATGTGTCGTAGCTTCCCGAACGCTGCCCAGCCGAGTTGAATCCGTCGATTGACCTCTCGGTCGAAGTTGGACTTACCTAGTCGGACTATTTGTCCCAGGTAAACATACTCGTCAACAACTTCGAGCTTAGTGCTCCCAACAACTACCGGCATAGGTGTGACATGGACATTAAACATGATCTTTGTTTTGTCCATGTTCATCTTAAGACCTATCCGTTGGGAAACACTATTGAGGTCATTGAGCATAGTGCTTAGGTCCTCCAGCGATTCTGCCATAAGGACTATATCGTCGGCAAATCGAAGGTGAGTGATGTACTCGCCATTGATGTTGATACCGTATCCTTTCCAGTCCAGAAGCTTGAAAACGTCTTCCAATGCAGCGGTGAAGAGTTTCGGGGATATGACGTCACCCTGTCTTACACCTCTCTGCAATTGGATAGGTTTCGTATTCTGGTTCTGTACTCGGATAGCCATCGTAGCCCTACTGTACAAGCACTTCAACACTTCGATATACCGACAGTCAACTTGGCACCGCTGAAGGGACTGCAGCACCGCCCAAATTTCGACGGAATCAAAGGCTTTCTCATAGTCCACATACGCCAGACATAGTGGCAAATTGTACTCTTCGGACTTCTGTACAACTTGCCGAAGGGTATGTATGTGGTCTATGGTGCTAAAGCCCTTTCGGAAACCGGCTTGTTCGGGAGGCTGGAAGTCGTCAAGTCTGCGCGCGAGACGATTCGTAATGACTCTCGAAAACAGCACGTAGACGCGGCTCAGAAGGGAAATCGGTCTGTAGTTCTTCAAGAGAGCGTTGTCACCTTTCTTGAAGAACAAGACCACCGCACTTCTGCTCCACGCCTCCGGTGTAATGCCACCATGGAGGACAGAATTAAAGAGCTTCTGAAGGACTTCAAGTACCGGTCTTCCACCCGCTTTCAGAACGATATAACGCATTATTAATTTGTAAATAATCATTTACAAGGAGAACAACCTGTTGTGCGTTTTCAGGTTTCCTAAAGATGGCTCGATCAAGGAAGCTTGGGTTAAGGCAACTGGCAGGCGAAACTGGTTGCCATTTAAAAGTAGCAGCATATGCTCGGAGCACTTTACTGAAAGTGATTTTTTAATATCGAAACGAGGATACCACTATTTAAAAACTTCGTCAGTACCTACAAAAAAGATTTTGTCTTATATTGAAGTAAGTTAATCCAGACTATTTTAGTTCATATATTAAGTAGTAATAAGTTTTGAGAGCTTAATGTAAAAATATATAAAAGGAAACTTCAATGTAGCGGTTTTTTATTTTTATTTTGTTTGTGATAAAATGTGAGATAGTTCATACTGAATCCTTTCTGTTTCAGAATAAACATTGCATTGTCACTTCAATGGTTGGGCCTTCAAAAAGACAACTCAAATTGGATAATTTAGATACTCAGCCTACTAAGAAAGCTCGTATTCTAAATGATAATAACAATACAGACAGAAAAATGCTAAATGAACAGGATTATGTAGCACTAGAAACTCATCCAATAGTTAAAACTGTTGGGGTTAACGAAGACGTGGGAAGTTCAACGTTTTCAACGCCAAGAAAACAAAAATTGAGACGTATGTTAAGATGGTCCGAAGAAAAGATTAAAAAACAGAATTTAAAGATAAAGCGATTACAAAGTCAAAACCGAAGATTAAAGAAGAAAATAACAAGCATTGAAGAACTATTAGAAACATTACAAAATAAATTTGCCATGGAGAAGGAAAACCTAGCCAACTTAAAAAATACCAATATAGAGGTATGTATTATAAACTATAAATACTTTACTGTTATTTTTATGGTACTCATATGATGTCATATCATCATTCACGGGAATAGATGGGGTAGTACTATTTATTGCCGTAACTAAACAGGGTACTGATGCTGGTTGGTAATTGTTACAGATTCAAGAATTAATTGTTCGAGAAGTTAAAAATGCTGACTCTGGAGTTGTATCAAGACAAAAATATTCTGCAGCTCTCCGCAGCTTCGCTCTAACCTTGCATTATTACTCGCCTAGAGCATACGACTACGTACGCAAAATATTTCATGCAAGCCTACCACATTCACATACTCTAAAAAAGTGGTATTTAAAAATAGGCGGGGAGCCAGGATTTACCAAAGAGTCTTTTATGGCTCTAAAACTTAAAGCCGATACATTTCAATAGCCACTGCTAGCCACATTAGTGCTTGACGAAATGAGCATTCGCCGCCGAATTGAATGGGACGGACATAAATTTCGCGGCTATGTTGATATCGGTACGGGTTTAGAAGGTGATCACTTGGCAGAGGCAAAAGAAGCTTTGGTATTTTTAGTTACTGCAATTAATAGCCATTTTAAAATACCTGTCGCCTTCTTTTTTGTGGATGGCATTACAGGACAGCAGCGTGCCGCTCTGGTAAAACAGTGCCTTGAGCTAACTCATGATGCTGGTGTTAGAATAGTGGCATTAACTTTTGATGGTTGCGCTGCAAATATTTCTATGGCAGAACATCTTGGTTGCTCCTTCGAAAAACAAGATATCAAATTTGATCATCCTATTACCAAAGATCCGATAGTTGCAGTCCTCGACCCCTCTCATATGATAAAATTATTGCGAAACGCATTTGAACACAATAAAATTTTGATAAATAAAGATGGCAGTAAAATTCACTGGCGACATCTCATTCAGCTTAATAAACTTCAATATAAAGAAACATTTCATTTATCCAATAAACTAAAAAACCGGCACATCAACTTTCAAAAAGAGCGAATGAAAGTCAAGCTGGCTACTCAGCTTTTCAGCTTAAGTGTTGCAGAGGCTCTAAAATATTGTAGAAATTCCGGAATAGAATTGTTCAGTGATAGTGAACCCACTGAAGAGTTCCTAATTGTGTGTAATAATCTTTTCGACATTTTTAATTCAAGAAATTTACATTTTTATGGTTATAAAAAAGCATTGAATGAAGATAACGCGTCAAAAATATTTACATTTTTAAATTACGCTTCGGATTACATCCGAAATCTTAAGACAGAAAATGGCGTCTTAATGATAAACAGTCCACGTAAAACCGGGTTTTTGGGTTTTCTGGGCTGTATCGAAGCGTTAAAACATTTATATACAAACTTGATTAAGCCCAAAATACTTATATATTTACCATTTTATAAATTAAGTCAGGACCATCTTGAACTTTTTTTCTGCAACATAAGAGCACAAGGCGGAACAAACAATAATCCTACAGTGAGGCAGTTCATATCTGCTTATAAAAAAATACTGACACACGTGCAATTAATAGATAGAAATAAAGGTAGTTGCGTTGCTTTAGAAAACTTATCCATATTAAATTGTTCATCGGCAGTTCAACGTATCAACAAAAGTGTAGATGTGCACGCTGAGTTAGAAGAAGAAGGCTATGACTTGGAAATACAAGAAATTAGTGCATATTTTTCTGATTTCGGCATCCAGGCTATAGGTCATATTGCCGGCTTCATCGTCAGGATTTTATTTAAAAAAATTAAATGTGATATCTGTGTAGGGGCATTGGTCACTCAACATTTTGAGCATTTTCATAAATTCATAATCGCCAAAGATGGAGGCGGCTTGTTATATCCCTCTACCGATGTTTTCAAAATTTGCCAAACTGTTGAAATATACTCAAAGCAAATAGATATAGCAAAATTCAATAAGGATATAACCACTGCAAAAGTAATGAGACCGTTTATTGGAACAAATTTATTCAATTCCATTAGTTACCATCAATTAGGCGAGTTTCCTGAATCCAACCATATCACTGATTTGATAAAGGCGATAGTTGATAAATACATTGATATCCGAATTCATCACCTTCTAAAATTAAATATTAAACTATCAAAACGACAATTTTTAAATAAATACGTATTATTTCAAGGACAATAAACAATGATTTAAGGTTTTGTTTTTTATTATACTCCTTGTTTCTATTTCAAAAATGATAATTTAGCTCAATATTAATATATTTCCATCAAAGTCAACTGATTATATGTCGACTATGTGAATTACGGTGAATATACGTAGTGCATGAAGGCAATTCCCACTAAATTTTGTTATTTTATTAATTTCATCATAGATTATTACATACTTTAATATTGACTAAATATCGATAACTCAAATCACGTTCGAGCAGTGTAACTACATCACTAACAATTCACGTAGTAGTAGCAGGTTAGATAGGGCAAAGATAACCTTATGATCATTATCCTTGTGCCTATAATAGCTTGAAATTATTATTGCGACATCTAACGTTAAGAAGCTGAAATTGATCATTATTTCTAGAAACTTCTTTGATGAAAAGGAATATGATCTTTATTTTTAAGGTCTTATGGTTGGTACTAAAGCGAGTCGGGAATAACATAATGCCTTTTTCTTTTATTTCTTAATTGCCAATCACATGAAAATGATTGAAATAGCGAATGTGTGAGTTTGGCGACAGTGGTTCTGGTACAAGTTATATGTTTTGCTACTTCCTCTTGTTTTTTATATTCCGTGTTCTGCACGCACGATAACAAGCTTCGGGTTCCGCGTCTACGTCACAGTGACCGAGTGAAGCCTGCCACAGTCGAGCGTGTGCCTGCTGTACTACCATATGTCAGAGGTGTCACAGACAAGATTGGCTACATCTTGAAGCGAGCTTCTATTAGAACATTCTTCAAGCCGCCGAAGAAGATTAGTCAGTTCTTCCCATCCGTCAAGTGCAATATTCCTCTACAAGATGCAGGAGTGTACAAGCTTGATTGTGAGTGTGGTCTCTCATATATATGGCAAACAAAACGATCAATAAAAACTCGCGTAAAAGAAAACATAGCTGACGTGAAGCACCAACGTTCCGGGAAGTCTGCAGTTTGTGATCATATCTTAGATGGCCCATTACATTAGATTTGATAAACCACAAGTTCTCGCGAAAGAATATCGATTCCTGCCAAGGATGATACGTGAGGCTATTGAAATTAAAAAACATCCTAATTTCAATAGAGAGGGAGGCTGGGTACTACCACCTGCTTGGGATCCTTTAATTCATAAAATTAAAACTAAACCCAAGCATACCACTGCAAGACTTCAAGACACAGTTAGTTCATTCTGCGTAGATCGGACCAAAATTAATAATTAAAAAGCTGAAGGTACTCTGGGTTAACTTTGACATCGGGACGTCAATCACCTCAGTCCCCCGTGACCACGGTTGCTGGAAAGCAACCGAAACGTCGGGAATATAAAATATCTTTTTAATTAAACGCGATAAAATCCGTAAAAGTAGTTTTATTCAATGTTTAGTGCTCGCGTAACTATAAGAAATCATTAGGAAAAGACAGTAAAAACCGATACCGACTCCTGGGCAAACATCTTTAGCTCAATCAAAACATAGACAAAAAATTGTCTAGTCCAAGATGCTGAGAAAGTAGATTGTTGAGCACATAACCAATAACTTCGTACTTGCACCAGTCAGTAAAATTTGGGTTCAGTGTCTTTTCACGGATCCTCACATCAGTCGGCAGTGAATCGTTGGTTCATGGCTCGAAATGGATATATGTATGTTTTACTTGTCTCCTCGAGGAGACGTCTCAATAAAATCTATTCGATATTTTATTATTGTTTTTCTTTTTATGGAAAGGCAAAAATAAACGAAAACACTTGTATGAACAAGGCTAGGAAAGCTATTATGCCGTGAAATTGAAAGAGGCTTCAACATAAGTAATGTTTAGTGGATTCGATGTACGGTCTCCCGACAGGCCGTTTTGCCCATAATGTACTACTCAATCATCGACAAACTAACTATAAGGAAAATGCTTACTTTATATTAGGCTCAGATGAATTATAACTTTTGCTTTTCATAAATCCTGGCAGATTAATATACACTAACAGATTTTTAAATTCCATTGCTGAAAGTCCTTTATCAGAAAATGCTTATTGGTACTCAATACTCGATTTGTCCATCATTGACGATGGATTTAAAGTTTTACACATCTATTCCATAAATTATATACATAAATGAATATTATATAGCTTTAATTAATTAATTAACCATTAAAATATAAATCAAGATAATACTAATTAGATTTATAGGTATTAAAAAATCTAAATTTAACTTTAAATATATAGCCTAGACTCAAGCTAAGCTAAACTGGATTCAAGTAAGGCACTTTACCTATAAAATTTAGTGGTAGTAGTGTGACAAACTAGCGTCGCATTGCCTGCTTTTCTTGCTTCCGTGCAGTGTCAGTGACTTATGTAACATAATTTCAAGTAATAAATTAGACCTGTATTTTTCTGTGGAAGCAGGACAGACATGGCAACTCTCTGTCCCGACGAAAATATAAAATAAAAATACTATGTTATTCACTATAAAATGTACTGGAACTTTTTTGAAAGGGACGAAGAGAGAACGAAGTGTGAAATATGGGTAAATCAGGAATGTCTAGAACAGGTAAATGAAATTGTATACTTGGGGAGTGCTTTTAGCCGGGATGGAAGATGTGATTTAGATGTGGACAGGCGTGTCGCTGCCGGGAACAAAGTCAATGGTGCCCTGACTGCGTTAGTCAAAAGGCAAGGCGTAGCGAAGAGTGCACGCCTTGCAATACATAACGCAGTGTTGGTACCGACTTTGTTATATGGCAGCGAAACCTGGGTATGCCAGAAGAAGCATAAAAGTAAGTTGAATGCAGTGGAGATGCGATCTCTTCGTAAAATGTGGCCGACCGAAAGCGAAACGAAGAGATTCGCAATATGGCAGGTTTGAAAGATGACCTTATCACAAAAATTGATAAGGGCGTGCTTCGGTGGTTTGGGCACGTTGAGCGAATGAGTGAAGACCGAATGGTGAAGAAAATATATAGCGCGAAAGTTAATATTAAAAGGTGTCGAGGTAGACCGAGACTAACTTTCGAAGACCATGTGAGCAAATTGCTCGAAGAGGGTAGGGTCAAAAGTACTCGGATACCTAGACGTGCATGCATGAAGAAGATAATGAATCTGAAAGAAGCGAAAGAGGTTTGTAAGGATCGTGACACTTGGCGATCTGTTCTCTCTGGCTACCCCGTCAGGGATTGTGCGTGAAGATAAGTAACTTTTTTTAGTACTTTTACGTGGAGAGCCATACTGCAGCTATATTATGATTAAAGGACGAATTGATCGGCTATACAGGTGAAGTAGCACGCTCTTACAGAATACCAGCGTACATTAGCAGCTTGATGCAGCTGTATTTCGTATGATGAGTATAGAGAACGTTCCACGTAAGTCCTCAGGAGTGACAAGGAATCTGCATTTGATTCCTGTGGGCCACAATGTCTCCTTACCATCAGTCGGACTATGTGCTAGTTTGTCACTCTTATTCTATAAAGAATGTTATATCTGAATGGTAGTATAATCACGTGCTCTTTTTTACATGGGCGAGCCACGCTGCAGCTATATTATGGTTGTAACACGACTGGGTTGGCTCGAGCGGGGCAGGACTGCACTCTTATAGAATACTAGCGCAAAATGGCAGCATAATTCTGCTGTGTTTGGTATGGTGAGAACCGATGGACTGTGTGCTTGTTTGTCACCCTTATAATTAAAGAAAACGTATATGTGCATCACTCAGTTATTAGCCGTTACTATCTATATTATTGTAACATAGTGGTTAGTTCATAAAATGAATACAAAGTGCCTATATATAGTATATTTTGAGAGCAGTAGTAGTTCAGGGGCTAAGCTCTCCCAGTACGCAAGCAATCAGTGTTCGATTGCCCGCCAGCACCAATGGTTTTGCCAGCTGCAATTTAAAAGCCATACAAGAGCATATATTTTAGATTTTTTCATTTAATTATTTACATCTTAATGCACATAGTAGTAAGGTGGAAATCATTCTCTCCTTATCATCCATAAGGCTAAACAGAGATAAATATATTATAAGAGGCAGGGGTACAAAAATCTAAATAGATATAGAAAAAGGTAATAAAAAGCAATACATAGTACTTAAAAGAACTAAACATAAATAGTATTTTCTTATCCCATGAGATTTTTTTTGAAAGTCAACAGTGTAGTTGTAACTGGATAAAGCACAAGCATTATGAAACAAGACAACTTATTACTTTCGCGAAAAGTTAAAAAGTGTTGTGAAACATACACACGTCTTGGGAAATCTTTTATGACATTCGATCAGCTCCGAAAACTGAGAAGTGGAGTTTTTTTATACCAAGTCTTTACACACATAAGAACATAAATTTTCAATATTTGCAATAAGAAAAAATTTACTCTTATATTCTCGCTTTATCTAGATTTTATGCGGAAAATAGAATTATTCTTAAAAGTCAAAATATAAAATTAATTTTTTATTTTTAATTACTTTGTTGTTATACTTCGTTAACACCTTTTACATAATCGATGCTGGATTTACACCTTTATCGAACGATGTTATCTGGTATGTGTTTTTCATTAGCCCGTAAAAGTCCACCGGTGGACATAGGTCTCCCCCACAACAGGGAGGATTTGCATTTATCGCCATGGCTAAGTGACTGCAAACAGTCGGATCAATAATCGCAGTTCCAGACTTTTGATGCTGTTCTCCATTACGGTTATAAGTATCTACATCTATGTTAAACAAGATGAATGTACTGCTATCTTTACGTAGCTATTAGACCAATCTGGAATTTCCCATAATTACCTCTTAGGAGAGAGATCTTAGTAAGAGATACAGGAAGTCAATGGATGCAGGTGACTTAGGGCCGTGCTTTACTGTCTTCTTTGGCGGAGGCCTATGTTATTTGACTTGTGAAGAGCTTACTTAATGATTTATTTATTTAATAAGACATCAAAAGGAGACAAGCTTTACAAATTGTAGTAAAACAACACTTAATCTTCGAAAGGAATATGTGAATAAGTAAAAATAACAAGAAGTAGACAAC